AGTGTGTTGGAAGCCATCAGAGAGGCTGGCCCAGCAGCTTTGCTTCACCTCACAGGTGGGTCTTGGCCACTCCTGATTTCCTCATTAGCTCTCTGCAGTCCTCTGTAACTTTTGGGTTGTTTTTTTGACCTCAGAACACTGAGCTCTGCAGCTGACCAATCTAGTGTGTTGGAAGCCATCAGAGAGGCTGGCCCAGCAGCTTTGCTTCACCTCACAGGTGGGTCTTGGCCACTCCTGATTTCCTCATTAGCTCTCTGCAGTCCTCTGTAACTTTTGGGTTGTTTTTTTGACCTCAGAACACTGAGCTCTGCAGCTGACCAATCAGAGAGTGTGGGGTGCAGAGAGACAGCTGCCTGGCAGCTGCTTAGAAATCAATGGGAGGAGCACATTTTCCCCTTTTTTACCCACTTAGGTGTCAAATTTCTAAAAATCCCTTCTTAGCGAGCACCTATGCTGCGGTGGGAGCGCGCTCCCCGAATTTGGTGTCTCTAGGTTCAGCGGTTTGGCCTGGGCGTTGATTTTACGATGAAGGGACTTTCTTTTATATATATAGATAGATGTGAAGTTGAATTTAATATTAGGTATGTCCTTTTCCTTAAGGGTTAATATATAATCTTTAGACTGCTTTGGTGATAAAATGGCTATTTATAAGCGATAGGATATTAAGGATCCATAATTATAGGAGCAAAGATTGGTTTTGTAGTAAAAGATTCTTTAAAAGATTTGACTATGAGAATCCATAGATCTGAAATTAATACAATTGATATATGATTATAAACAAGTATCAAGGTAATAAGATGGTATACACTTCCTCTAAGTTACAGAATGCTTTTGTGATGTAAAAGCAGTAATTTAGGGTTTTTTTTACAGGTATCAAGAAATCTATGGACTTAAGTGACCAGATTTAACACAGAGGATTGCCTGATTGTACAAGTAGAATTATTAATGTAATGTAACAGAGTTTGTAGAAGTAATTGTAAGGACTTTCTTTTCTTCGCTTTGTACCCCCCCATTCCCTATTCCCCATTCTTTCCTTCCTTTTTAAAAATCAATAAAAATTGAAAATAAATAAAAAGAATGGGACAAGATACGAAGCGAAATATTGGAAAAGTCTAGGCTTCTGGTTTATCTAACGGGTCAGGGAGAAATAACCACTTTAGAGAATAACTCCTTTAGCCTGCAGCTTAAGCCAGGAGAAATGCTAAGGATGGTACTTCATGCTTCTGTTGCTGGGGGTGTTTCACATCCGTGAAAAAGAGGAGCCAAGAAAGAAAAATTGCATATGAAGCCCGCGGGAAAAAGCTAAAGGATGTCTCTAACCAATTGTCTCTCTCTGTGTGTGTTTCTTCTGCAGGGCTTGTGAAGTTGGGGGTTCACTGTGTAACGTGTCAAAAGGTCGCTATAAAAATTGTCAACCGAGAGAAGCTCAGTGAGTCGGTGCTAATGAAGGTAATTTTCTAATGGGAGATCTGTGGGGGGAAAGTTCTTGGCTCAGTGGCTTCTGTTCCATGCAAAATTAATATCTTTAATTATGTTTAACAAACATCCCTGTCAGTGCTAAGATTGTGCTTTGTATCATAACAATACCAATAATTCAGGGGTGGGGGTAAGGAGGCTGAAATTAAAGAGTAGGATGTATGCAAGCACTTTAATTAAGAACAAAAATCAGCGTCCAGTTGTGGTGCAGTAATTGAATGTAAAACAGTGAATTGTCTAGGTTGGGCTGATCTAAAGTACATGACTAGAATTTAGTTGTTTTTCTGGTTACAGACTTAGCATTTGACTCCTGAGTTGGGTTTTTTTAATGTGGAACAAATGTTTTGTTTTGTTTTAAGTTGAAATTTACTTCAGTGCTAGTGGCTGAATCACCTGGCTTCATCCTTGCATTAGGAATGCTCTGAAAAGGGGGTTTTGGTCTCTGGGAGACTTTTGTATTAGGCAAGATCTAGATTTGGAAACTGAGGATGCTCTACGCCTCCTTTGGCTATTCTGTGGGTGGAACAGAATTTAATTAGCAGATGTTAATGAAATATTTGATGATGCCTTTAGTCTGCATTTACCATAGTTTGTTCTTATTATTTGTATGCTGGTGGGGTAGGGGGGAGCAATCCTTATTCCCAACAAACTTTGGTTATACCAGGCTATATTGTCTTCAAAAAAATTAAGCAATGACATGTTTTCTCACCTCATTTAAGAAGTACGTTTTTCTTTATACTTGTACTTTATAGTTATACTTTTCTATGTAAGCACCCTCTTTCAGTCACTGGTGTACACCAGTCCAGGTAGCAGAAACAATGGAAAGTTTCTTTTTCTCATACGTAGTCAAGGAGCTGGGCTGTTCCTGTCTGTAGGGATTTACTTGCCAAAGTAGAAATGAATGAACACATGTGAACATATATGGATCTGCTCCTTCCGTTAACAGATCAGGCTTACAGTGGTAAAAATTATCATGGGTCACATATTAATGAAAGCATTAATTGTTGCTGATATTGGTCTGATTTAGGTGAAATCCACTGGAAGGGCATCACTTCTTCACTCAGGTTTTACAATCTAAAATACCCGGGGGGGGGATTCACATGGGGGGAGGGAGAAAGGTATTTCTTTGTGTTAAAAAGTGGGTTTAAGAAGGCAGAGGCGAAGGCTGGGCGATTTCAACCAGCAGCAGTTTATTGCATCTCAACAGGAATGCTTGACATGGGGCAACTGCCCTAACTATATACACCTAAGTCACTCCCAGCCCCCCATGCGATTGGTGAGTTCAAATGGCCTCCAGGCTCCAGATTGGCTGGCTGCCCTCAGGGGCCAATCTGCAGGAAGGTTCCGGGATCCTGCCCGCCTTTGTTCTGGGGCTTCAAGCTCCAACTAGGTGGCCTGCCCAGACAAGCCCAGACATGCCTCCCCACTCTCCATCTAGGTGGCCTGCCAGACAAGTCCAGGCATGCCTCCTTATGCCGGCTACTAGCACCCGCAGCAGCTAAGCTTGAGTGGAAGATTGCACAAGTCCAGACATGACACTTGGTCTGCTTGTCTTTCTGCTTGCGCTTCTCTCCTCCCCCTTCCCCAGCGGAAGTTGTATTAATTTATGTGGAGATTAGTGATTCCATGTTCTCTATTCAGAAATGGATTTGAAGTGAAACTCATGTAACTTTTTGCTCGTAAACACAAATGAAAAACTGGCAGTACTAGCTTTCAAGGAAACAGAAGTACATATTGCAGGGGTGGTGGATTTAAATGTTATATTTAACTTTGATTATAGTTGTATGTTCTGTAAGTTATGGCAGGAAAGGTCGATTGATTAGCCACAAGGTATAGATAGGGGCTCTGGGGCATGTGATGCTCTGTCTTCTTGGTGCTTGGAGGGGCCAACAGTGGGAGGTCTTCTAATGTCCTGGCCCCACTGGTGGACCTCCTGATGGCACCTGGTATTTTTGGCCACTGTGTGACATAGTGTTGGACTGGATGGACCTTTGCCCTGATCCAACACTGGCGTCTCTTATCTTCTTATGTTCCCTATTGGGCTTGCAGGACCTGCCTCCTGAGTGCGAACAGTAGGAGGGCTTCCAGTGTCCCGGCCCCACTTGGGGGCCTCCTTATGGCACCTGGTATTTTTGGCCACTGTGTGACACAGAGGGTTGGACTGGATGGGCCTTTGGCCTGATCCAACATTGGCGTCTCTTATGTTCTTATGATTGAAAACGTTAATTATATATTATACTAGCCAGAGGGCTGCAAAGAATCATGGCGGAGGAAACCATTTGGAAATCTGCAAACTTTCCCCCCTCTTAGATTCAGTTGGTCTTCATGGCCTTGAGCAAGCAAAATTTCCTCCTTTCTTCCATCAGTGCAGGATGTTCCCCACTGAGCAAATAGAACCAACTGGGAAGTTTTGGTCAAGAAAATGGTGTAGGGGGAGGATAGGGCTGCCAGGTCCCCTTGTTGCTTTGACAGGGGGTTGGGGGGGTTCCAGGAGTGGGCAGAGACATCCCCAAGCCCCACCCCCAAGAGCAACCACCCACCCGGCCACCCCTCTCCCTCCACTCCTGCCTGATTTAAATGGTTTCAGCTGATCAGTGGGGTCCACGTGGCCTGCCCATCTGCTGGAGAGCCCTTGAAATCTAGCAGGAGGGAGAGGGGTGGTTGTGGGCTGCACGGTGGGCTCACCAAAAGACCCTTTAAAGGGTCTTTTTGCGAGCACGGTGGGGGCTGTGGCAAGCAGGGCTAATTTCAGTTCTAAAAGTAGGAGATCCCGAGGCCCACCTGGAGATTGGCAACCCTACCCGGACACTCCATTTAGCTAACCTGGTTGATTGGTTTTAATTCCATTCGATCAGTTGGCATCCTAAGGGTTACAGCCTTCTAAGCCAAATGACTTCAGTGGATTTAAGAGGGTCTTGTAATTCTGTTCAGGATTGCACTGTAAGGCTGGCATCATTTGATCTCAGAACTGGTTTTGGTTTTTATGTATTTCTGTATTCTGTGTATATATCTAATAGCCAAGTTGCCCCCTCCGTGTGGATATCGGGGGCACTTGGGGAGCAAAGAGACTTTCCTGCACACTTGGAGCAGTCCCCAGGTGTGCAGAAAAATCTAATAAGTTTTTAAAAATTTGCGGGGGATATTTAAATCTCCCCAAAAGTAAAAGCATTCCCTGCGCATGTGCAGAGAATGCGCTGGCCATTGGTGGGAGGCTCGGCAGGCCCGGCGGCTGGGAGCCACTCGGGCCTCGGTACAGGGGGGGAGTGGGAAAAGACTCGGGCCCGGTGACAGGAGCGGGAGAAGGCTCGGCAGTCCTGTGCAGCTTGCCACCGGGGCGGGGGAGAAAGATTGGCGGGCCTGGTGGCTGGGAGCCACGTGGGCCTCACTGCTGGTGGAGGGGAGCTGGGGGGGAAGATTGGTGAGCCTGGGCCTTGGCTCCAGTGTGTGTGGGGGGGCTCAGAACTGGTTTTGGTTTTTATGTATTTCTGTATTCTATGTATATATCTAATAGCCAAGTTGCCCCCTCCGTGTGGATATCAGGGGCACTTGGGGAGCAAAGAGATTTTCCTGCACACTTGGAGCAGTCCCCAGGTGTGCAGAAAAATCTAATAATTTTTTTAAAAATTGCAGGGGATATTTAAATCTCCCCCAAAGTAAAAGAATTCCCTGTGTATGTGCAGAGAATGCGCTGGCCGTTGGGGGGAGGCTCTGCAGGGCCGGCGGCCCGGCGGCGGGGAGCCCCGGGGGCCTGAGTACAGGGGGGGGGGAGTGGGAAAAGACTCGGGCCCGGTGACGGGAGCGGGAGAAGAAATAAACAAGTTGCTCATCCTCTCATCCCCCCCATCCCACAATGCACCACCTTGTTCCATTCCTTTCCCCCCTCTCTGTCTGGGTGCTGGGATGCGGAATGGTATCGTTTAGCCCAATCTTATAACCTCTCAGAAGCTTATCAGGGTCAGTGCTTGGATCAGTATGGAACTGGAAACTTTTTTAAAAATAATAATAATGTTTTTATTGTTTTTGCCAAAACTGTTTTGACAACAAACAAGGTAAACAGAATAAGAAGCAAAAGGTGGGTGTGGCTGGATGACCACACTTCTGGCAACACGGGGGTGTGGCCTGATAGGCAAATGAGCTGCGCTGTCAGGGGTGTGGCCTGATACACTAATAAGTTCCTGCTGCTGGGTGTGGCCTATTATGCTAATGAATTCCTGTTTGGCTTTTTCCACAGAAAGAGCCCTGGGCAGCATCATATGTTCATCCACAGTCTCTGAACTCATTTACCTAGAGTACAAGAGAGCAGTGTATCAACATGCAAAATGACGGAGGCAAGTCCTCCAGTGGGTTGCTGTCTGCTGCAGTTGATTGCCTTTGAAAGCTCTTAACCCCAGTTTTTTGTCTTGTATTCCCAACCTTCCTGAGTGTTAGATTTTGGGAAGGTCCCCCCCACCAACTAATGCTTTTTTCATTTTGTATATTGAGGGGACTGGCCTGTACTCTGCAGCTGTTCTTCATTTGAGCTTCACAGAATTGAGAGGCATTTGGTAAAGTGCTTCCTAATCATACCATAATACTATCAATATTTCTGGAGAGAATAATTCAGAATTGAAGCAGCTGGTCTCAATTAACAGAACTGCTGCTGGGGAGATGATACATGGGCAGGCGTGGTAGAGAATGAAATGGCAATGAAATGTGTCATTTGAGCCTGTATTGCCCTGTCTAAGGGACTGGATTTTGGGTGGACTGCTAAATGCAGATTATCCTCAGATTGTCCACGTGGGCTTCCTACCCTGCTAAATGAAAGCACATTTCCCACAGTTGTTGTTGTTCAGTCGCACAGTCGAGTCCGACTCTTCGCGACCCCAAGGACCAGATCACGCCAGGCCTTCCCATCTTCCACCGTCCTCTGAAGTTTGCTCAACTTCATGTTCATTGCATCTATGACACTGTCTAACCATCTCATCCTTTGCTGT